AGGCGGCATAATAACTTTAAAAAAAAAACAAGGACTATGTACCTCAGACAGACCGGCCAGGACCTGGTCGGCATTGAAGGAATGGATCCCTGGGATCGCCTCCTTCTCCTCCTTTGGGACGGCCTTCATCATGGCCCGAGCGTACCTTTGTACATCCGGCCAGCGAGGGGAGTGATCTGCACCAGAAACAGATGGTGAGAAGGCAACATACTTCCCTCCTATTGACTGCCGGCTGCCAGAAGAGTCTTCTGACTGGAGCTGGGAGTGCGACTTGACCCGCACAGGCTTGCCAAGCAAAGAAGGGTTGAAGGGGTCAAGAGTACCTTGGGTGGAAGGATGAGGGTCGAAACTGCCCTCAGCTGTAGCTGAAGCACCGGATGCCTTTGTAGGCACCGTCTCCTTTACCGGAGCATCTGGTTGCCTTTTTGACAAGTCGAGCCCCACGCTGAGGTTTTTGAGGGATTTACCCCCAATCGTTAAACGGCTGGGGACCGTCACAGAGGAAGTCTTCCTCGCCTTGTTCTGGGCAGGCGGCTCCTCTCCAGGCCTTGGCCTGATTATTTTTGAAACTGAATGGGGCACCTTGCTCCCATCCTAAAAGCAAACATAGCAGTCAGGCGACATTGAAACCAAACGGAAATGTATGCAGGAAAAAGAGTGAAAAGAAAGATACCTTCTTTGCCGCCTGAGCAGCAAGTTTTTTCTCCGCATTTGCCTTGCGGATTTCGGCGGCTGACTTTGCGGGAGTCTTCTCAGCTGCCAACATTGCTAATCCACGCACTGCACAAAAAGTACCCATCCGGTCAGAAGTAAATAAGACAAGGAACAAATGATAAGATAGGGGCAGTCTCTAATGTGACCTACATTTGTCAAACTGAGGGCTAAGCTTACAGATGGACAATAACGCCTCGTCTCGAAGAAATTCGTGCCTAGGTACCCAATTTCTGGGTACGCTTATTAAGTCTCCATTGGAGAGGGTGACGGTGGTCTGTTCGAAGAATTTGGACTCTATTATTCGCTCATAATCCTCATCCGGAATACGAGGCTTCTTGCATTTATACCCCAGGAGGTCTGGCTTCCGGTTGTATACCCTATACTCCCGGTTCTTCGCCTTAGTAGGGGCAGATACCAAGTAGAACCTGTTTTTCCAATCAAACCACTTAGACGGCTTGTCTAGAGTCATCAGGTACTTGGGATAGGTTGTTAGGGTGTACCAGGCTCTCCAACCGCCTGGGCTTCTGCTCAAGTAATGCATATGGGCGAAAGCCTCCCAGCTGGGGTTTATATCCTGCATCTCGCAGGCGGCAATGTAACCCAGTATGTTAACCCATGAGTTAGGAGTTAACTGCCAAATACCCAGGCCATATCCTCGAAGGATGGCCTTTATTGTGTTATGAAGGGGGAAGCGGAGACCAGCGAGGAATGCCGCCTCATAGCAGCCAAAATACCCGTCTGCATTAGGCTGCTCGTCTTCCCAAACAATAGTACCCAGCTCAGGCGGCACAATTATTTTCCAGTCAATCCCAAGCGGGCGGATCCTTACAAAGTCCTCCAAGTTATTGGCCATGCTAGCCCTATCCTTGGCAGAGACGGTGATGAGGTACGGGTTGCCTTTATTATTCCAATTAGGCCTTTCCTCTGCCTCGCTATCCGCATCCGGTGTCAAGAGGCTGCTACTGCTGCCGCTCTGCTCTCTACCAGATGGGGAGGCGGTATCGTCGTCACTGGCACCCTCTTGGTGTTCCAGCCCAACTTGAGAAGGCGAGGCGGTTTCTTCCTCGTTTTCTATTTCTTCTCTAGAAGGTGAGGCGGCCTCTTCCTCGCTTCCTATTTCTTCTAAAATCCCATCGCTGGGAGTACTTGGGGTGCCAGGCGGGGAATCCCTTGTCCCCTCCGTCTGACTAGGGTCAGGCGACAGCTCGCCTGATTCTGCCTCTCTGTACTCTAGATCGAAGGCAGTCTTTTTTGTGCGATCCATTGCGTCCTGCACAGAGACAGAGACGGTCAGTTTCGGAGAAGAACAAGGAGACTCCCCGTACCCAGAGGCGGCACCCCCAGTCCTAGACTCAGCCGTACCAGGAGACCGGCTGGCCTCTAAATTATGGTGTGCCGTGTGTGTAATGGGTGAGGTCATTATTTAAAGGTATTTACAACCAAAGATTCAAAAATGAACTCCGAAAAAAGGCAAGGAACCAAGGCGTTACCTTGAGATTGAATAGAAGTTGAGAGACGGTTGTTGACCAAAGATACCCCAAACGGTATCACTTTGAGCAAACTGCAAATTGGCAAAAGAAGGGAAATTAATCACCAATGTTGCCCAAAGATACCTCAGGCGGAGAAAGCCGGTTGGGGGAGATTGACAAGCAAATAATCTGGGATTTTTATCAGATCGGGCAAAGACCCCCCCAGTCGGCATAAACCGGCTGAGTTTCGCAAAAAGCTCAAACAGAATAAGCCAATACAGGCGGCCTGAAGGCCGGCTGTACACTCGTTAAAGTAAAGACTGTTTCGAGGCCCCCAAGCAGCAAAGACCGATCAGGGGCCACAGCAGCAGTTTAGAAAGGGATTGCTTGCTCACCCCCCAGACGGTGTGAGACTGGCTGGGTAGGCAGCAAGGCAGGCCAAAAGAGAGTTTGAACAAAGATACCCCAGACGGTTTACACCGGCTGAGGGTCTATTGAATGCAACTCACCAATGAGATTGCTTGAAGATACCCCAGACGGTTTACACCGGCTGAGGGTCTATTGAGCGCAACTCACCAATGAGATTGCTTGAAGATACCCCAGACGGTTTACACCGGCTGAGGGTCTATTGAGCGCAACTCACCAATGAGATTGCTTGAAGATACCCCAGACGGTTTACACCGGCTGAGGGTCTATTGAATGCAACTCACCAATGAGATTGCTTGAAGATACCCCAGACGGTTTACACCGGCTGAGGGTCTATTGAGCGCAACTCACCAATGAGATTGCTTGAAGATACCCCAGACGGTTTACACCGGCTGAGGGCCTATTGAAGGCAACTCACCAATGAGATTGCTTGAAGATACCCCAGACGGTTTTCACCGGCTGAGGGTCTATTGAATGCAACTCACCAATGAGATTGCTTAAGATACCCCAGACGGTTCACACCGGCTGAGGGTCTATTAAATGCTACTCACCAATGAGATTGCTCATTTGATGCCCCAGACGGTTTGAACCGACTGAGGGTCTATTGAGTGCACCTTCAATAAGTGCCAGAAGATAACTCAGACGGACTACACCGGCTGAGATTTTCAATAGACGCAATTTATACAAAATTGCCTAAAAAGCTCCAAACGGCAAACGCCGGTTGCAGCATAATCAAACATTCAATCAAAAAGTCCGACTGAGTCAGAAGGATACCTTAGTGAGGCGGAATGCGTAACTCAAGCGGTATCCAGAAGAACGGCTGTTTGCGCAAGTAAGCAGGCGGGGTCAAGGGCTCTCGCTTTTTCTCTCAAGTAATTTCTCTCAAAAATGGCAAAGTGAGAAATGAAAGGAGGGGGATGCTTATTTATAGGGGTTCTTAGAAGGTGAACCGTCACCCTCTCTCCTTAGTTTGAAATTTGAAAAAAGAGAGGGAAGGAGGCGAATCGTCCCCTTCCTACTTGGATGGCGCGTGTCACAGGTGCCACGTGGCATAGCCACGTCAGCACCCGTGAGGGGCAAAATGTTTAGGGTAAAAGTTACCCTGGACACGTGGACCTATAGGGATCTGACACGTGTCATCCCCCCATTGCACCATGGGCATCCAACCAATGGATGCCACGTGGCATCGTACCCCCAATGGGGGAGCAGGCCCATCTGCTATAAATAGAGGAATCTACCTCATTTATGGACATTCAGAAATACACCCACAAAACCCGAGCAATATTAATTGCGAAATCTCCCGGAATCCGAGAGAATCAATTTACCTTCTGCACGTAATTTCATCCGAAGTTATTCTAACTTGACCGTCGGAGGCGGAACTCCACCCAACCGGAGTTTCGTGGTTTTGCAGGTACAGAAGTCAGGCGTACATTCCCGGTGCTGTAACTCTCCCGTAGGACACCTCAAAAACCCCTGAAACAGTTCCTAAACCAGTTATAGGAGTCCTCTTTTTAATTTGTGTTGACTCGGATTATTTATTCTTGTATTTTGCACAAGCGTTTAGTTGTTTTGGTCCTAGCCGGAGTTTTAGAAAGAGTTACTTGTCGTGAAATAAAAAGATGTTAGAATTATTATAAAACAGACCTAAAAAAAAGTGTTGCGATTATTATTACAGAGGAAGTTGTAATGCATGACAATTTTGCATAACTAATTTTACATAACAAACTCTTTCACCTCTCAATAGTACTACTGACAGGTGTTCAGTACTACTGGGACTTGAGAGGATGAAAAGTACTCATGAAAATGTTTAGTACAGTAATACTTTTTTACCTCTCAATAGTATTTTCAATTTGTTATTATTTACAAAATTGTCACTAATATGTATTTGTTTGTGCATATTTGTTATGCCTTCAAAGTTGAACCTCCCTCATTATTACAAAACGGAAGCAATAACAATTACTCGTAGAGTCTTAGTACAACAGCAAGAGAAACGTTGAAATTAAACCGCATACAAGCATTAGGTATTACTAAACTCTATTTGAAATTTGAAATACAAGTCAGTACAATAATGGGGCGTTTGAAATGTGGGAATGGAAGTTTGGGGATTAAAATGTGGGAATGAGATTGAGAATTGATTGTTGGAAATACATAAAAATATGACAATACTTTGTCTGTGAATTAGGTAGGGAATAAATAACAAAACTACCCTTATTAACCTTTTTCTTCCATTCTTTTCATTAATGACAAAAATGTCATTTTTCACTCATTCTCATTTCCATCTGTTTATTACCTACCCTTCCTATCTAATAAAATGGTGAGAATTCACCCCATTTATTCCTAATACCATTCCCTTCTTTATTCCCAATCCCATCTACATTTTTTTTAAATTGGGATTAAAATTCTCATTCCCACCCTTAATTTCCACTTACCAAACACACCCTAATGGCGGAGCTTCCTGACGAACTATGGCGGAAAGTTCTGGAAATGGGAGTGAAAACTTCAAACAATCACAACAACAATGGTTTCAGCTTCAAAGAGTTGTGCTGCACCGCAATCTCCTGTAAACGCCTTCATCGTTTATCCAACGAACCCTCACTTTGGTCTTCTTTGCTCTCCTCCGACTTTCCTCTTCGCCTCACCAACAACAACAACAATTCATCTTCTTCAATTCCCCCCAAATCACTCTACAAATCTTGGTCTCTACCTGAAAATCTAGGGTTTTGAATTGAATTGTTTGGAATTTTCAAATCTATGGTTTTGAATTCAATTGATTGAATTTTGAAAATTTTAGGTATGAGAAAGATAAGGCGAAAAGGATTGCCGCTCACAAGCGAGCTGTGCTTAGAATTGAGAGTCGGATTACTGAGAATTCTAGAAGAATCGAGGAATTGCGAACTCGTTTGGTTGAAGAAACTGATAGAATGAAGACGGTTGCTTTCGAGTTGTCGAATTTGCGTAGAGTCAGGTAATGATCAATTTCATGTTTTAGTACAGTATTTGATTGAATGTTTGAATCAAATTAGAAACAGTATTAACTAATTAAGCGAATTGTGGCAACAAAAATACGAACTATTAAGTAGATTTTATAGGCAATTGTGAATTAGAGCAGGTGATAAAGGGCTATGGAATGAGGAATTGTGCAAACCGAGTTTTCGGTAATGCTGTGATTCGATGTTTATCGATTTCTTTAGTAGTTCTTCATTTTTCCTGGACTTTGCATCGTTTGTTGTGATTGTATCTGTTTGAAGATTGACAAATTATGGGCAATTGATTGATTATATTGGGTTGCTTGGCGTTTTCTAGGCAAGCTTCGGTAGCTTTGAATGTGTGGCAGCCGGAGGTTGTTCGGGGAAGACAGAAGGAAATCGTTGAGCAATGTGCTGTTCCGGTTGATTCGCGTATCAATGCACTTGAGATGGAGTTGAAGCTTTGTAATCAGCATCTTATTGTGCACGATAAGAATTATGTAAGAGTTGATCTTTTGTTGCTTCAAATGCATGAGTTGTTTTCTTTAATGAAAAGTTTTTAAGTGGTTGCCATGAACTTGTTTTTGTTTGTTATTAGAGGGATGAAAAGCGAAGGCTTGAGGTAGCAAAGGAACAGCTAAATTCAATGAAGTATCATCCCTTGCAAAATGTTTCTGTAGACGAGAGGAGAGTTGGTGATCCTAGTGCTAAGGGGAAGAAGTTGAAAACACACATCTCAGGTTAGAGTTGTATATTTTGTTTTGTCACTTTCTATTTATTTCTGATAACACATTTGGTGATCAACTTTGTGCTTTCGTTTCTGCCTTCATACGAATATGCAAATCCAGCTTAAAATTTTTTTGGGTCTTTCCATATGAGCAGTTGCCTCTGTGGTAGATATCAAGTAGTTTATCAGCTCTCATATATCCCTCATCCATGTGTGTGAGTGCTGTTGTGTATGCTTTCAATATTAGATAGGCCAAATAAATCTTAATTAACCTTTGTCATTTCACATTTTATCAGCTAGTTTCTCTTACCAGGTAAAATTTGCCTTGTTGTAGACGACTCAAAGGCTCAGCTTCTCCTACTATAATCCTTCCCCCATCAAACTTCACGACTACCAAAAACCTTCAACACTGTTAATGATCATCAAAATTCAACACATTATATGGTAGCAAAAGAAAACTCACATTTGATTCAACTTTAAAAAAGATATTGATCTGTATAGGAAGTAAAGCTGTAGAGGGTGTTAGTAGGGGGTGTTCAGCTGGAAACTTCCATTCATTGAGTTAAGTTCATTCTCCCTTATTCCTTAGCCCGCACTCTTTCTTGACACAAGTGTAATTGCTGCACTCTAAAATGGTGGCTTTGCCTCTAAAATTAAAATAAAGTCTTAATATAAATAAATCACACCCTATGTTGGATGGATGATTCCTCTCAGCTTTGTTGGCAGAGTGAGAAGAAAGGGAGAGAATACTAGTGATTTCAAATTGAGAATAAGGATTTTTATGTCACAAATAACCACCGAAAAGTAGCTTCATAATCATCTTCTTAACTTAGCTGAAATTTTACGCCTGAAAAGCTAGAAATTTTTATCTTAATTAAAGCTTGTAACCCTGAATTGAAAGTTTGAAACACCTTTCGTATAGAGTAGTAGTTGATCTGGATAACATATGAGGAAAGACCTCTGCTTTGTTATTTTTCTATAAAAATTTTTGTTATAGGGTTTAGAAATAACCTAAATGTGAATTTCTCACCAAATAAAAATATACATCGTCCGTGTTTTTTAATCACAATGTAGAGGATTTCACGATTGCCAATGCACATTTTATAACTCAAATATTAAGTTGGTTAACATTCTAAAATGTTGATATTATGAAAGTGTATTTCAGCCAAATCTATCAAGATCCCACATGACTAGTTTTTCTAACGTAAAAATTACAAAAGATGCTTAAAGGAGTGTGTGTAAATAGTATTAAATTTCAAACGTTATGATTAAAAAGAAAAATAATGGAGGAAGTATATATTTTTCCGGTGTTGACTTTCTTCTCCTTAGTATATAAAACAGGAAGAATCTAAACAACGCAAAAAATTATACGTGGAAAACCCCTTCGATGTGAAAGATAGAAACCACAGACTGTTTAAGGAGTCCACACTAACTTCTCTTATTGATAAATTGAGGGAAAAAGAATCCCAAACCAGTTTACAAAGGATTCACCCAAAAAAAACAACAACAACAATAAGAGATTGAAATTAGAGAGTGAAAAGAATAGAATTCACCCAAAAACAACACTTAAACTAGAGCTCAAACCAATGATCCAACCGTCGCCTTGATATTAGAAATCAGCTTTCAAAATTTGAGCATTGGAATTTCGGCAACAGGCAATTTTCTGGATAATTTTCTGATCCAGAAAAATTCGAAATTGGAAGCTCTTGTATTAACCCTCACTATCTATTTTGTGCGTGTGAATGCTCTGTTGCCTTTACACCATCTAACTACCCTTATCATTACCAAGGGTTACTACTACAAGCTTACTCCAGAAGCCATAACTTAAGTCCCTAAATTGGACTTACTTCAAACTAGTAAAATGCAATAAAACGAACAAAGTAAATGGACCAAAAGAAAATACATTTTACTACTGATTGGCTGGATCCATAACAATCTCCCCCTCCATAACAATCTTCCGCTCCCGCCAACACGGAGAAGACCAACACGCTTCAATAATCACTTGAAGCTCATTCCCACAAGCTTGCTACAAACATCAAGCTTGCTCCCGTGAACAACTTTGGTTAACATATCTGCACCATTTCTATCAGTGTGGACTTTCTTAGCTTCAAATGCTTCTCTTCAATCACATCTCATAACCAATGATATCTACCATCAATATGCTTGGTACGAGCATGATATATTGTATTTTAACTCAAATCCATAGCACTTTGACTATCACAAAGCACTATATATTCTCCTTGCTTCAAACCTAGCTCTCGAAGGAACCTTTTAAGCCATAGCATCTCTTTGCCCGCTTCCACAGCTACAATGTGCTCTGCCTCAGTTGTTGACAATGCTACACTTTTTTGTAGCTTGAATTGCCATGAGATGGCTCCCCCAACCTGAGGTTGATCACCTGCCTGCCATGTCAGCATCTGTATAGCCTTTAAGTAAAGGTTTGCCACTTTCATATCAATTTGGAAGTGCCCAGCAAGTATTTGAAGATCCACTTCACTTCTTCCCAATGAGCTGATTGGATAAGTATCTGCTCACCGACGGAATGTGCAATATCTCGCCTAGTACGCACCATAGCATACATCAAAGAACCAACAACAAAAGACTAAGGAATGGATGACATACTTTCTTTCTCCTTCTCTGTTGTAGGACAAGCCTTCTTGCTTAGCTTGATATGTATTGCTAGTGGTGCACTAACAGACTTGGTATGCTTCATATTTAACCTTCAAGTACCCGTTCTATATTCTTTTCTTTTGAAAGCCACAACTTTCCAGCTTTCCTATCACAAGCAATCTCCATGCTAAGATTTGCTTTGCAGGACCCAAGTCTTTCATGTCAAATGACTTGTACAAGTCTTTCTTCAAACTTTGAATCATTCCTGCATCTTGTCCAACTATCAGCATATCATCTACATATAAAAGAAAGATGATGAAGTTACCTCCACGAAACTTTCTAAAATAAGCACAAGGATCTGCCGAAGTTCGTTTATAACCATTTCCTGTCATAAACGAATCAAATTTCTTTTGGTTCATTTTATTGCATTTTACTAGTTTGAAGTAAGTCCAATTTTGGGACTTAAGTTGTGGCTTTTTGATCAAGTTTGTAGTAGTAACCCTTGGTAATAATAAAGGTAGTTAGATGGTGTAAAGGCAACAACTAAGAATTGAGCATTCACACACACAAGATAGAGAGAGAGTGAGGGTTTATACAAGAGCTTCCAATTTTGGATTTTTCTAGAGAGCTTTCAGAAAATCGCCTGATGTCGGAAATTTCACCGTTGAATCTTGCTCAAATTTTGGCAGCTTTTTTCTGATAACAAGGGCTTCATTTTTGGACGGTTGGATCATCGGTTTGAGCTCTAGTTTGGTCAGAATCGTATGCTTTTTTGGGTGAATGTTACTCTTTTTACTCTCTAATTTCAATCTCTTATTGTTTGTTGTTGTTGGTGGGTTGTGAATCCTTTGTAAACTGGTTTGGAATTCTTTTTCTTTCAATTTGTCAATAAGAGAAGTTAAGGTGAACTCCTTAAACCGTCCCGTGGTTTTATCCTTCACATCCAAGGGATTTTTCACGTATATTTCTTGCGTGTTCATTGTCATTGTTTTTTCCTAGTATTGTTTGTGTTATTGTTGTTTTGCTATTGCTTTATTGCTGATTTGTTGTGTGAGAATTTGGTTTGATTGGATTGAATTATTTGTCTTGTGCGTGACATTGTGGGTGTCGTAGTGACCCCCTTTCGATCCCTACAACTTGGTATCCGATGGTTCCGCAGAGACGCAACCGTTATGTGTGTGGGACGATCCCTCAAATGTGTGACCTCGTGATTGTGATGCCTTGCTTCGAAATTCCTAATGTTGTGGTCTATGCAGTGAGTCCCATGGTGGTAGCTTTCGCTGGAGGGGAGGCCATGATTAATGTGGTCCTTGGTTATAGGGGAGGTTTGTTGGGGTTGTTCATCCCAAGTCCCACGTGGAAGAAATAAGGAAGGAATGACTTCTTTATAAGTGGAAGCACACACTCCATTAGAATGAGGCCTTTTGGGAAAGTGCCCAAAAACAAATCTGTGCGGGCTAGGCCCAAAGCGGATAATATCATACTAAAGTGGAGTGGAGTGTGCGTGCGGCCAAACAAGGTCCTATATGAGAAATAAATTTGTATTAGTTAAATTTGTGTTTCTTTCATTGAAGCTTATCTAGTGCTCAAGATTTCAATACTAGAACTCTTAGGTGATGCGATTTCATCTAGTTTACCTAGGCGATTGCAAGTCCATCTAAGTTTACCTAGACTTTGTATGTTAATGCAAGAGTGCTGCGGAAACATTGCTGGTTGGTCCTGAGATTCAGAGTGATGCTTTATACAAACTTCTGTTTTGTACTCTTGATTATTTCTGTAGGAAATAACTCTTAAATAATCTTTCCCCCTCCAACAAACAGGTTTTGATATTTTAACTCTCATAAAGTTCATATTTTCATCATGGAAACTGGTGACTCAGACTTTCAATAAAACTTGGTGGAAACCTTTTTCTTTATTGTTTCCACTTTATCTAAACATTTGGGTATTGTATTTCTGCGTTTTCCTGTTTCTGTTTTCATGCAGCATATCAAACATGCACAAAAGATGAGGAAGTGAACATTGTTAATTTGTGTTGCATTTTTTCATTTTCTAGCAGATGATGAACAAAATTGGAAGGTGTAAGGGGTTGATTCAGGATGGTACTACCACAAACTTATTATAGGTCCGTTTGTTAGGTGGTCGATTGATCCATAATGAGTATATTTATGCATTGCGGAGTGCAATGCATATGCATAGGGTCTTTGGAAGTAACTGGAGCTTAGCTTCGAATTGGTCCTGAGGAAGCATATTTTATGCATTTTTTTTTTTTGTATGCTTCCTCAGGACCAATTCGAAGCTAAGCTTCAGTTACTTCCAAAGACCCTATGCATATGCATTGCACTCCGCAATGCATAAATATACTCATTATGGATCAATCGACCACCCAACAGTATTTTCTGGAGCAATGAGGCCTGTGCCCAAGCATAAAGTGAATCTAGAAAGTCACTACAGCCATTGCTTGTTTGTGATATGTGGACATGTAGGAAGCTGGCAATTTTATACCTGATTAATAATAAAGACGCCAACTGCAAATTCCCATTATACTAGTCATATGTTTGTCGGCTACACTTCGCCGTCCTCGGTACGGGAAACTGCTACACTTTGGCGTACCCGTGCAATCGTGCATCACTGTAATTTGTTGTAAGATTGGTGTTGATAACTTTCATCGCCCAACAATTAATACTTGTATATTTTACTCATCCATGATTTATCATGTTATTGTTATAAATACAACTTTAAATCTGTGAAACTTTTGTATGTATGAGTTTATATGTAAAATGGACAGGTTGAGGAAGTGCATTATCATTTACATAGTACTCCCTCGTCTATATTGTTGTTGTTATTGTTTTTATCGGCACAAGAGAATTAGGGGGTTGAGTTGAATTCGGTGCAATTAGCCAGTGATTGTAAGGGCTCCTCTGTAGGCTACCAAGGTGACGGGTTTTATCCTTGAGATAGCCTCGGCCTTTCATGCAGTAGGTAAAACTTTTTTATTTTTTTGGACAAAATCCAGTAGCTGAAAGTTTGTAGATAACATTCTCTGGTGCTGCAATCAGATTGTGCATCTATGAGAAGCAGAGGAGGTCCTCCATGTAAGCAACTAAGCTAGTAAAGGATCAAATATCGCAAAGGCGGTTTATAAGTCTTACAGCAACTAGCCTACTAATACTGGCGTCGACAGATGTCAAGTTTTCATTTCATTCCAGATCTTTCATGGCAGTTGAGCTATTGTTAAGAGATGATTTTTAGTGGATGCAGATTCAGGAAAGCATATGTTGGAGCTTATTCATTATTACCATTGCTTAACTGCTAGTAGATTGTGTTCATCGCAACTTGTACATATTTTGTGCAATTTCTTCTTTAAAATGAATTTGAAGCAGAGAGACCATGAATAAATCTGTCACGAGGACTCGATCAATCGCGTTGCTGCACTTGGTGCGAGCTGATGATTTGAAAGGAGTGGAAAGACAGAAATGGGAAGGAATTGAAGAAAAACTGCAACAATGACGATTTCATTAATAAACCATCTGAAATAGGGGGAAAATGGAGGAAACAAAATAGAAGTGTTAATATTATGTGGAAATTGGCAACTGCTTGTATTAAGGAAAATTGGGCATTATGAAGTTAAAATGAAACTATATGCTCAAATACTGCATCAAGGTTAACACTTACACAGTTATTTTAAAATAATCGTAATCTGACCACACATAATCTTGTATCCTAAATGTCCACAAAAATTTAGTGTAATTTACTGAACTCATGCGAAGTAGGCCTTTCAATTAACTTTATTTCTCTCATACGCTCACCCTATATCCTACTAAAAATTACTTAATATTCATGTCCAAATTAACAGAAATTATTTTAGCAAAAAGAGAGTACTTATTATAAATTATCATGCTTCGTTTTAATGTTTCTACATAATTTTTCTTCGTTTTATATCAAATGTATATATAACTTCACCCTATTCTGCATTACTACATAGATTTGACTATTAACATTCATTTATTCGTTTTAAATTCTTTTTATTTCTTTTATTCGAAATCTTAGCTTCAATACGGAAAGAGACATTTTATTAATAAAAAATCTTTGATAAACATAAGAAGCTTCCAAATTGTGTAACTGGGTTATTTTGATGACCCATGTACATGTATGTGAATTAGATTAGTTTGGTTAAACTTTTGCGGAAGTTCAAAGAGTTGTATATAAGACCTATGATTAAATTAAATGTACTATACATCATTTTCTTTAATTTTACAACTCTACAACAAAAATAATATTGTCATACAATGGTGCAAGGTTGTCACAAATACTTATAATTTCCTAAAAGAATGAAAATAAATCTTAAGCTAAGTTTACACATGGTGCAAAACAAAGCTAGTCTTTTTTTTTTAACAAAAAAAAAAAAAAAAAAATTAAAATTGACTGCCAGTTAGAAAAAGCAAGATGAAACATAATTAAAATAAATCAAGTTTAATACAAAATACAAAAAACCCTGGACCATAAATTCACTTATAATAATGCAGCTACCACATGAATTTAATTAAAGTAGTAGCATAGGTTTAATCAACTTATAAAAATGAGTTTAGATTTCCTCTATAAATACTGGTCCTAACATTCATTATATGTCTCTTGCCCACATGCATCTTACCTTTGCTTAGCTTAGCTTGTTCTACTCTCTCACCTTTCTTTTCTATTGCCCATACTTTTGTTATTACCTTTCTTTAATTACTTCTAATCCATTAAAAATGGATTCAAATCCAAACAATTCTCATGAAAATAATGAAGTAAGGAAAGGTCCTTGGACCATGGAAGAAGACTTTATTCTCATTAATTATATTGCTAATCATGGTGAAGGTGTTTGGAATTCCTTAGCTCGATCTGCTGGTACGCCTTTTCCTATTGTTATATATTATCGATGTTATGGTTTTTAACCTATGGTTATTATATTTAGTACGTGATTGTAATTTAATTCACCTAAGAGCGAGTTTAGGCCTTAAACGTACATAAAAATAGTTGTTACGTACTAATACGGTTTTTGTATGTGTAATTTCATATTAGGCCTTAAACGTACGGGGAAAAGTTGTCGACTTCGTTGGTTGAATTACCTAAGGCCGGATGTTCGTCGTGGTAATATAACTGCTGAAGAGGAGCTGTTGATCATGGAGTTGCATGCTAAATGGGGTAACAGGTACGTACACTACTTCGTTCATGCATATTGATTCATTATATTTTGCTTTTGGTTTTGATTCATTATATGTAGTAGGGTAGTATACTAGTATAATCGACTATTTAATCGTATTCGCATTCTTTTTGTGATCTATAACAACTTCCAAAGAGCAATATACACTACATCTTTATTAATTTAGTCAATTTAATTAATTTGTTTATACTTTCCTTTAGGAAAAACTTGAAATATATTTAAATACTAAATTAAATCTATTATGAACTAAGATTTTCTCTACAAATATAATAAAGCTTATACATGTAGCTTGGATAATTAAGGCATTGGATTAACGTAGTTCTTTGTTTTGTATTATAAAAAGCTAAATCATTTATTCGATTGTTAGGTTACAATTGATGTGATCAACGTGTAACATGTGCTATTTCCAATTGAGGGGATCACATGCATGTGATGTAACATGTGATTTCCTAAGTAAAGTAACATCACGAGAAAATAAAAATAAAAAATAAATAAATTAACACGTGATTTTTAAAATGATTTTGGCTATTAACATTTCTTCACCATTTTTTTCACTTTACCAAAAGAGTACATATTTTGTACTCCTTTCAAATATTTTTTTCTACTTATATATTATAGAATCTTAATTTTAGTAGGATTGGAAATAAACGAGTTAAAATACGAAATAATTAAAGTAAATTTTAAACATGTGAATACATAGTAACAAAGAATGATTGAGATCATGTTTTTTTTAATATGGTGTATTTATGCAGTCATAATAAAATCAATTTATCATTTTCAATTTCCTCAAAAAATAAAAATAATAAAATAATAAAATCATTTTCTATATCTATTAGCTTTGTATTAGTAGGATATACCATCCATTTACTAATAGTAACCATTACCCTTTATTTGTTACTCTATAAACTCAAAAATGTTTTCCTCCTTAATCTTCAATATAATACGGATTAGAAGGGATATAAAAACAACAGGTCAAAATTAAAAAATTAAAGGTCGTGTTTAAGGTACATATTTGGATGACTTCTCAACACATATTTGATTCTTTCATTTTCTAATTTGTCATTCTAAACGCTCCATCATGAAGTACTTCCCATATATTTCTTGGCTGTCTTTCCTACCAAAGGCCATGCATCAATAATGATGCCTATTATATATTTTCTTTTTGGCTAGAAATAGACTATTGCACTCATGTTGGTCTTGGCATCTTTGTCATGCATGTTTTTAGTGGCTACATCGTACATTGTAATTATATTTTCCTTTATTTCTTTTTCCCTTTTCATCTAGAGTATTTGACTTTCTTCTATCAATGCTTACACAAATATGGATGCCCTCACTTTTTTCTCACTATTCAAGAAAACGAGTAGATACTTTGTACAAGTAAAATTCATTAAGTAATACACATGAAATCAAAATTAATCTCAAAAGATGATAATAACATCAATTTTTTTTTAAAAAAAAACACCTAATATATATTTTTCAGAAGGCGAAGAACAATAATAATACTCCACTACAATTATCTCTGTAAATATTATTTGTTAGGCAAATAACGTACAGATCCCCTTAAGATTAAATATATAAAGAGTTAAAATGGATATTATAACTTATATTAGGTAAATATAAATTCAGATCGTTACACTGATTTACACATGAATAATTCATGTAATATAAAGTAGAAAAATTCTAAAAGTTGGTTTATAATCATAAGGATTACATATATTTTTATTGTCAGTGTCGGGTCGTTACTCGTTATCATATGTTATAGTTAGTCTTTGTTTAATCACATTAATGATAATCTTAGTCTAAGAACAAAACAAGAAACTTTTGATTTTATTACAAGTTGCGAAAGTGGTTAACTCTAATAATCCGTAGAATTTAGTGACATAGATTTTATTACAAGTTGCAGTAAGCAAGTACAAGTGACAGCTTTTTGTGTCTTAAATACATTTGCACCAAGTACGGCTATTATAGTGACGGCAAAATAAACCATTGGAATACAAACATGCTAATTAAAACTTTACTATAAAAGGAAATATAAAAAAGGAAAAATACTTCGTTCTAGGCTGTCTTTGATGTAGAAATCTGCCATAATATTTTAGTAGCTCTTTTTGGTGCGTCTTTTTCTTCTATTCTTGATATTGACTTAACTTAAACTACATGTCTATATTCCTAAAGATGTCAATTCAGTTGTTCGAGTAAGGTTTAAATTAGTGAAGTTAGGTCAGGTCAGATTGGATTTAGTCATTTAAAAAACTTGAGCCATGCTAAATTATTGTGTTTACGCGAGTCAAAATCTAAAATAGACATTTTTCGGATCGGTTTTGAATCGGGTCGAATAGATTGTGTTTTTACACCTTTATATATCCCCCTCTATTTTTTATTTGAAATCACATCTCCTCTATTTTTGTATTTTGAACTTTATATTATTCACATACTTTGTATTTTCTTTAACGATATTTAATGGTCTATACATATGAAAAAAAACATAATTAAGAAGTCTTGTGTCGGCCAATCACAAGATGTGACTATATTTGTTCCCTCAATTCATGATTATACGAGTAGTAATCCCTCTTCGTTTGGTTTAATTATTCAAAGAATAGCTCTCTTGTTTTTTCCGTTGGTGTTAGTCCTCATTCAGGTTAACCACATGTGATTGATTACCTTGATTCCCATCATTCAATAAATGCCTTTTAGTGTGATTGACCACGTATAAGCAACTGTGATTTTGTAATAGGTTATCCGCACACAAATGAGTTTTCAATGTTTACTCTAAGATAGTAAATTGGATTATCTTCAAGTTTTTATTCATTTTTTAAAATTTTTCTATAGAAGAAAAAACTACAAGAAAACATGTCATATGAGTGATTGAGGTAACGGGAGGAATCTATCTTATTATGATTAGTTTCCATTGCATTGAACATTCATTGAATTATCCCATCCTCAATCTCTTAGGGAGTTTATACGATTAACCAAAAGTGGTAGTACAAAAATAAAAGGCAGAAATTGAGATAAATAATTCTTTAAAATTTCAAATAATTATCGAATTATTTTCCCTCGTATCCATTTCCTTTTATCCTTTAGTTTCGAGATCGTAATTTCCCCGTTGGAATAACATCCACACAAACATATCTACATGGAATACATCCATTTGCATCATTACGTGCAGCTTAGTTTCACTCTATGGCTTAGCTCAACAGCGCGTGTGCAAGCCTATAGAGTCATTGATTGATTGATGGTTTTCGTAAGGTAAGTTGAAACTTTGGCCAATGCATCATGCGTGTGAGAATCGAAACTATGCTTATTGACGGCATGGTCATAACATAGAGTAATGGTATGTTGGTTACAAAAAGATGTAGTGATGGTACAAGACTCCTCGACAACGATTTGTGTACATTGTTGTGACTCGAGGATTACGTTGAATTTTACTGTTACTGAATGGTATTAAGATGGAACCTAGTTTACTCGTTTGACCCTGTAAAATAATCTCCACCACTTTTTCCTAGCGTAGTTTTTGTGAAAAGGCTACCAATATAAATTGCATCAAATCTTTGAATTGATGCATGCATTCTAGCTTAAAATGTATGTAAGTAAACGTTGCAAAAACTTGAAAACAGCTGATGCCTAACCTATATGCCGTCCTAATGTACTATAGTAGTGCACATGTACCAGTCGATCGCGGCGTGGCGTGGAACGTCTCCAGCCTCATAGTTTTATTTATCAACACGCTTCGCTAGTCATCGATCGCTAGGCAGCTACACAATTTCCATGCAGATTCCTTTATAACCAAGTTTACTAACACCAAATTATTACTAATTATACGTTTGTTCCTTCTTTGGAAAAATGCTTGATCAGATTCATTTATTCATTGTTCCAAAAGAGGAAATAGTTACATTTAGCTAGACTAGTGGAAGTACTCTTGTTATATTAGTGGTTCTAGATTGACCTTGGTGGATACGACGGTTTTGAGCGTATCCTACGCAAGTGTTTATATAACTTATTACTCCCTCTGTTTCATATTGATAGTCTCATTTTGACTTTTTTTAGTCAAACTTTTAAAACTTTAACAAAAAATTTAACATTAATATATATAAGAAAAAATATAGTAATATGAGATATTGTTAGATTCGTTTTGACGTGTAATTTTATAATATTAAATTTTTATAATATATACTCCCTCCGTTTTTAAATACTTACACTACTTTTCATTTCCGCCCGTTTTTAAATACTTGCTCTATTTCCTTATTTGGAAGGTTTTAACTATAATTAATTCATTTCTCTCAACTAGTGGACCCAACATAAATCATATTTTATGAAATTCATATTCTCTCTCCTCCAATCCTCTCAACTACTTTTGTTTTTTTTTTATAATTTTTATTCTTCCACCTACTCCACCACCTCCATATTTTATTATTTTTCTCTAACTTCTCCTAAAATTCCGCGCATGGAGAAATAGAGCAAGTATTTAAAAATGAGGGGAGTATTTGTTAATTCTTCCTCTGTTCTTTTTTACTTGACCTATTTCTTTTATCACGTTTGCCGATGTAAAACTTTAATAATCAATAACTTTAATTCTCCATAAGTAAAAATTATAAAAGTTATATATTATGATAGTACTTATTGAAACGAATTCAAACATATCCTACATGAATATGTTTTTTCTTACATATTATTCGCAAAAGACGGTCAAAGAAAGGGTGGTGAATAGTGTAAAAGTCAAAGAGGGTCAAATAAAAAAGAACGGAGGAAGTATATAATTAAAAATATTAATGGTCAAAGGTGCATTTTGAAGATTGCATAGTCAAATTAGGACTATCAATATGAAACAGAGGGATATTACTAATACAAATTTTATTACCTAGTTATTACAAGATGTTAGTATTGATATAAAATGGATTATACAGGTGGTCGAAGATAGCAAAACATCTACCAGGAAGAACAGACAACGAAATAAAAAACTATTGGAGAACAAGGATTCAGAAACATCTAAAGCAAGCAGAAAGCAGCACTAGTACAACATCAAGACATGAAACGAGCCCTTCCGACAACCACGAGCAAGCGTGTGTAAGCCAGATATCAAATGCTTCAGCATCAACACCTCTTAACTATGGCACATCGTCGAATCAACACAATACACCCTATCTACCTTCCATGTCACCATCGTCGTACCCTCATGTAGATCATCATGCGATGGAGGCTACAAGTTATAACATTGTACCGCCTCAAATGCATCCTGTGTCTACTGAGAATTTTTGGGTTACTCCTGATGAAGATCTTTGGGCAATGCAATTATTTAACAGCTATAATTAAGTATGGCACGCGAATTAATTTAAAATATTGATTACATATGTGCTCCATAATTTATGTTACGTTATTTTTTATATACAAAGTATGTATTAGATCTATCTTACCATGGACTGGTAATATAATTCGGGTTCTTGATGATTATTCTGTATCTATTTCGATCTCTACCTATACATAAATTAAATTATATAATTACTGGCATAGTTAATTAAGTTGTATTTGTAATGTTATTGGAAGGAGAAACTATCTTGTACAAGTATTACCATATCATCAATTGTTACGTGCATTGGATTTTTGGTACCTTTTAATAATACCATTTGTCAAATACTGTTACATGCGCATGCTCGTGATCTCAACCTTATTGTAACAATAGTTTTATTTATCTCTTAAATAGTTATGTCTAACAGAGTAACAGGGTATATAATATATATCATGAAAATTTCAAGCAAGATGTAATAAGATCATCATTTCATAGAAAAATAAAATGTGAGTTGTATTTTCAATTATATAGTAGGAGGAAGTTCTTTTTTATTAGTTACGAACTTCGACTTAATTTTCTAATAAGAATTTAATGTAATTTATGATTGAATATAAACTTTAGATTAATAATTTTCTACGAGTAATTCCCTGTTCCTCACTGTGAGGAACAAGTTTTGTTCTTCATGGGGTATGTGTTAAGAGCAGAGAGGTTCACCCAAAATTGACAGGCGGTCTCCACTAGTGAAAAACATCACATTATTTTCCAAAATACCATTATGAGGAACAAAAGTGTTCCTCATGATGAGGAAATGGGGCTCCCTTATTTTCTACTAAGTAATTAAAGTTATAATTGTTATCAAATCTAATCGTGGGTAAGATACCTACTAGATTAGGCAAATATATGCAAGTATACAAATAAAAAAAAACTACCACATACTAATAAATAATTTACTTTTCCGAATTCATACCTTCCTTGAGGCCTCCACTTTGTTAGAACCAATATATCTTCGATACTGATTAGTTCTTTCACTTTATATCAAGCAAGATTGGTGGAGATGGTGAGAAAGTCACAATCACAAGTTCAATCTTGGCCGCACCTTCTGCTTGTGCAGTTGTGCCTAGGGTGAGAATTCTCTTACTTTTCTTGCCGCCTACTCTTAAGTGTTAATCCGTGTTGCTGGAATGCCTCACCACAACGAGAAATGTCGGTTTAGTAGGGTCAAAAGGAAAAAAAAATTCGTCTCTCTCATTAGGAAAAATGTACTCACATTCTGACTCTCAAATCTAATCTCATCATCAGCTCCTTCATTGATTGGTTTTTGTTCAATTTTAAGTAAGAAGATCCTCCAAGAACGAAAAGGATGGTTAGCAATTATATCCATTCACTGTGGAAAGAGAGAGATCCACATTTTTGTCTAAAACCCTCAATCACATAAAGGCTGGTTTTATTTGGCAAAAGTAACCATCAGAATATTTGTTAAACTCCATTTGCCCAATCACACGAGATTACTTTGGGATGAAGTGTGGATGTTGCATGGACCCTCCTCATTTTTAGTGCGAAATAGTCCACTGAAGTGGATAAAATTTGAACTCATAACTTTTGTGCCACGCTCGCTCTTGATACGATGTTGGAATATCATTATCAAATGCAACCAAAAGTTTAACCTAGTAGTTGAGTCCCTAAATATATTTTATACTTTTTAAAAAATGAAGTGGACGTAATAATGTGAAGAATCATTTAGTCCCAATACTAGTTTTTTACTACAAGCCAATTATCATCAAGTTAAGACATATCTATTTCGAATAAAATTATCAAGTAAAGACAAGAAGTTAATTACCTTAAACAAAAGTAAAGACAAGAAAAGTTGACGAAAAGACATGATAGCTATACTTAGTTAATGATGAGCTTAAGTCATGTGAAAGGAGTTTATTGTTTGGTAGATGTAACATCTAATTATGTCTTGTCATTGTTTAACTAATCACTCAATATGTATAAATCTATGATTGTAATAAAGTTTGATTAGTCTAATCTTATAGTTTTAGTATTTTGATAAGGTGATTACACTTGTGCACTTAGTGCTTATTATCACTTATTAGGTTATAAGTTAAGTTTGATTACTTTTCGGAGCAATCAAGGTTGGTAAATTATGATCTTGTTGTACTTAATTAGCTAATTTTTCTTACTAATTATAGTACTTTTCTTCTATGACTTCATGTTTATTGTCTAACATCAAAAGATTGTTTATCAAATATCGATACCGAAATTGGAAAATGATAGCATTAGTGGTTGATATCGAAGATGGTCAATACTCAACAATAGTGATGTTGTACATATCTATAATATAAACAATAATTATATACACCAAACAATGTTAATATAAACAATGATTATGTAGCTACAACCTTGTTCAATCCTCACCATAAGAACTTAGAAAGAGGGGATCCCTTTACCCTTCCCCTCATTGTCACAATATTGTGCTCGCTAACTCTAACTAGATTGACAACAAATGCGGGATTTTGTTGGATATGTCTCAACGTATATATTTTTTAAGATATTAATTTCGTACGTTTTTTATTATTGATAATTAGATACATTTATTGTTGAAGTTTTGTGTTAACAAAAGTAATAACAGAAATGTGTTGATCAACTAAAAAAGAAAAAAGAAAGTATGTCTTTTGCACTTGGTATGTCCCAACTTTCTGGGTTGCACACCATTAAAAGCTATATTTTGATTGAAAGTCTCATTCCCCTATTAGTACTCTGAGAATTTATATATTATTACTTAATTAATTATCATATATTCATAAATAATTCTATTCTTTACAAATTGCAATACTATCTTTTAGGCATAATTGGCCTCAACAATATAAATTTTAACAAGATGCATGTAGCAGCATGAATTTTGATTAGTAGTTGTAACAACACCAACTTTTTCATCAGGTCCACAAAATATCATAAGTGAAACCCAGTACCGGAGATTTTATCGAAGACGCGGGATTAATATATTATTAACTTTTTGTAAATTTTAACATCAGATGATTTAGGCCTTAAGGTCCACCCAAGACCTTAAACAAGCAAGACATTTTATAGCACACAAATTGATGCATTTTTTTGTAAATTTGATCTCAAAATTAACGCCTACGGAATAAAATGGCCCCGAAAACTTGTTTGATCATTTTTCAATTCCCTCATTAAAATTGAGGCACGCAATCTAAGACGATTTTTAATAATAATAATAATAATAATAATAATAATAATAATAATAATAATAATAATAATAAAGTATTAAAGATATGTTGTCTTCTACAAAATCTCTGGTGCCAAGCTTCATTTATGATATATTGTGCACCTGATGAATAAGTTTGTGTTGCTATATTACTAGTCAAAGTTCTTGCTGGTATGTATACCTTGTTAAAAGTTCGTGTTGGTGAGGTCAATTTGGTCAATCTTTTAATGTAATTGTTGTAATATTGCATCATCTTTTTTTTTTTTTTTTTGAAAAAAAAAATTCTAATATACGTTTTCACTCTGTAAATACCTAATACTTGTATATTACTATTAACATTTTTAAGAGAGTGAAGGATAACTCAAGTGGTTAGAGTCTCTCTTCTGGTTCCAAGAATTTTGGGATCATTTCTCATCACCCGCCCTTGCAGCTCTCTGAACACCAAAAATAAAAATTATTGACATTGTTTAAGTTTAGACAATGGGTCACACTTAGGTTGAGCCTAGTTAGATATATAAAGTGCAAACATAGAGCCAGACTTAGTTTATTTAAATGTACCTAGACCTACATCTGACCCAAATTTATTATCTAAAATTTCAAATTGATCAAACCCGTAATACCTAACCATCCTTCAGCCTCAAAATTTTCAATTAGGGGTGTTCTTTATTCGGATTAGTACCAAAATCTAATCCAATTCAAAACAAATTATCAACTCGGATCGGGTCTACTTTAAATCAGATCGAATTGAATATTTTTGAAATTTTTGATATGTGGATTTGACTGATTGACCTTGTTTGGAACTGTGTTAATATTATTTATGAATTGTTTATATTAATCAAGTAAAGCTATGTTAATATTAATCATGTAAGTTATGTTTTCAAGACTTGTATTAATCATGTAGAACTATGTTTTTAAGACTTTTTTTTTAATGAAGGAATGTTTTCAAGACTTGTATTGATATTATGAGGTTAGACCGATATTTTTTTTATAATTGCATGTATTAGCTAGGCCCTTAAAATTTACAACGTATTTTCATATCGGATCTAAATAACCAAATTTCAATTCGGATTGGATTTGGTGAGAAATTCAGATCATATTGGATTGGAAAACTGAAAATCAAATCTTATTTCGGATTGGATTGGAAAATTGAAAATTGAATCTTATTTCGAATTGGATTGAATTTGGCATAGATCCAAATCGTGAACTGAATGTACACTACACCCTGGCCTATTTCAATACCTAGCCATTCATAAATTCAATTTACAGGTGTATTCCCTACAAAATAAACAAGTTTTCTAGAGCTTAATGCATCTTCAAATTTAGCAATTCTTAGTAGATGAAATTTTAAGTTTATTTAAAATTTAAGTTTGTTTGTACACTAGGAAAAAGAAAAAAAAAATCACACTCAATACTCCCTCCATCCTTTATTGTTTGTTGCATATTCAATCTAGTTTTATTATTAAAAGAGTACCCCATTCCCATTTTTTATTATGGAAATCATATTCAATTCATCATAACTTCACTCTCACATACATCACTTTTGTCTCTTTGCAACTCCCTCAACAAAAAATTAACACAAACAATAATAGTTGTGGGACAAAGGGAGTAGCAAATAGCATACACTATTACATTAAGTTATAACTATTGTTCTAAGTCTTAGCTTAAATATAATTCATAAATAGAGTATTATATTGTTTTAAGTCTTAGCTTTAATATAATTCATAAATAAAGTATTATTAGGAACCAATAACTACAAACAAATGAAGTACTTTGTCTCAATAATTTTGTTTGTTTTTCATAAATAGAGTGTGATTACATGGTTTACAACTAAATGATACAAGATGCTCATTAATGAATCCCAAGTCATGGAGGACGAATATCACGTAGGCAACATGGATTAATTAAACAAGTACCTAACCAACTTGTGGTAAATTGACAAATGAAGAAATGGTATTGTCTATTTTTGGAATACTTAAACTTAACCTTTTCCATTTTTTCTATTTCTGTGCTTGGACATGTGGGAATGAAAACTCGACATATGCCTAACAATTCAAAACCCAAATCATCTCTTCACATGGAATCAACCAATAACATTTCATG